AAATCAGATTAGTTTATATATTTAGAGGGAAATTAGCCTTTTAACATTTCCAAATTGTTAAATAACTTGTTTTTAACATTTTCAAAAGCATTTCTTTGCAAAAATAGGTTCTAGTGGATAAGAGCCTACTTACTTTTAATTATACTTTAAGTTTTCTGATTGAGACTGTATGCCTTAATTTATTTAACACCAGGATAACGTTAAATTAAAGTGAAATGAATGTTATACTTGTCTGTAGCAAAACCCTTTTACCTGAGACTTTTGACCCCAATATTACAATCACGTTTTCCAAATGACAAGATTTCCATTAATAAATAGCTCTAGAGGTAGATTATATTATACTTTGCACTGTATTTTCTAGTTATATTTCTAGATTGCTTTATGCCAAGAACCAGTGCTCTTGACAGAAAAACATCTGAGTTTAGTTCTGCTAATGGCAAAAGTAAACTTTTAGTCCCTCTACTGGCTGTCTTTGTTGTAGCAGAGGTTTTTTTTTTTAGCTCTTACATCTAAGATAAAGGCTAACTTTATGACCAAGGTAAATTTTGAGGGAAATTCTAATATGAACTGTCCCAAAATGGAGGGACTTTATAAACATACTAAGAATAAAAATATAAAAGTGATTCCTTAAGGTAAAGGTTTGAAAATTATTAAACTGCAGAGGCTTTGCACCAAATATCTGTATTATAGTGATTAAATCACAACCTTAGAATTTTGAGAAGTTGGATTATTGTTTGTAAAACTTGAAAAAAAAAATCTTGTGATACTGGCAGACAACCAAAAATGTGTTTTAGTTGCTGAGTAAAAGTTAATGTCAGAGAAAGATGCCAGTTATTTATTATACCTCTGTGAAGAGTAAATGTACTACAAATGCAGGGGAGGAATAGTGTAACACTATACATAAAACTTTATTGGTGCAACATGGTGTGATTATTTTCTGCAGGTAGTTTAGAAATTTATGCTTCGGTAAATATGTTAACCCAATCATTTTTATATAGAAGTTGGGATAATTATTTCCTGAAGAAAAAAAAAGCTTTTGTGTGTAATTTACATTCATTAAATCATTTTTCTAATTTTTATCATAACGAATACTATAGCTTTTTCTTGGTGTGAAAGATTCTTGGCTAAACCTTTTCATCTTAGAAAGAAAGGGATCTTAGGCACAGTAGGGTTAAATAAATAAATAGGTGAAATGAAAAGGGCCATATTTTTCTTTACTTTTTTCTGCCTTTGATCTTTATCTGTGGTTTCCAAAATTTAAAGCCATTAAAAAACTTAATATTACTTTATCTTGTATTTGTATATATACTCTGTATAGTCTTCAAAAGTAGACTATGTATTGCATTTTGTTTTATTGTGAATTTTGTTGGGTGGTGGTATATTGATTTATATATAGATAATTGGTAGGTGAGGTATCACAGCACCAGGAAACCAAGTAATAGAATAGTCCTATTGTAGTTAATTTCTCTGCAGATAAAATATATTAAATAAAACCAAACTAATTGTAATACCATTCATTGTTGCATGAACATGGCACAGTCCAGATTGGTGTAGAATTGTATCCAAGAGAATGTAGGTGCTACCAGCAGGACCTTCAGATGCTGCAGAAAGACCGTGTGATTTAGAGTTGGAATCAGTTTCTGGCTCTGCCAGCTACCAATTGTGTGACTTAGGGTTATATTGTTTAATCTCACTGAACATTTTACCTCACCAAGTTTTTAGGGTCAAATGAGATAAGTATAAGTGCTTTATTGTTATTATCAAGTACCTGGTTATTATAGTAATTTTAGGCATAGGTTCTCAGAAGAGTATTATATGTATAAGACTCTAGTAAAGTTTCAACTAAAAGTTTTGTTGTCAAGGAAAAAGTAACTTTGACTTTAGGGTTTGAATTTAGCTTAACTTTTAATATCTGAAAGATGTTTTGTTCAATTTTAATGCATTTAAACTTGGTTTTTAGACATGATTCTTGAGAAACTATGTATTAGTTTTTGGATGGACATCATCACCCATGAAGTTCCTAATATACCGTAGGTCATTGTTCTTTAATTATAAACATAATCCTTTGACCTTGGGAGGATAATTTTCAGTGTAATTACACAAAAATAAGACTAGATGCATGCCATACTCTTGGTCAGAAAATAGGACTTTGGGTTAGGTTAAAATTAAAGTTGATGTAGAGGCACTTCTGCAAGTATTTGGTCAATGCTCTGGTGGCTTTAATAAATTTGCAGATATGTTTTTGAAAGGCAGGAAGTCAGCCAAAGTAGTTTTATCTTAAAGATGGAATCAAGATAACAGTAGTTTGAAGATAGTAGAACATCTTCATTTTCTTTATCTTCTTTTGCCAATTTTTAAGGTAAAGTATTATTTGTAGAGACCAGGAAAGGAGAGTTACTGATATATGTGCCTAGGTACATATTATTATATATGAGAGTAGAGATTATGTATCATGTACCTAACACAATGCCTGAAGTATGGTAGCCACTCAGTAAATGTTTGAATGACAGACATGAATGAATGGACAATGAATGGCTGGACAGATATAGGAGGGAGATGGTGTACCCTTGTAGCCTAGCAAATTCATGAGTTTTTATATGTCAAGTTTGGGAGGTATTCATTTATATTGGGGTAAAGGTAACATATATTTTTTGAGGCTTGTTGAAGTTTAAGTTATCCTAAATGGTTCTGTGAACTTGGGCAGTTCTGTATTAGTCTGTAATCAGTGAATCAATGAATATTTAAGTGTCCAGTGGTTAAATATTTTGTGCTCAATGCTGAAGAAGAAATATGACATCATCCTTGCCTTCAGTGTATTCCAACACATGAAACAATAGCAAACAGTACAAGATGGTGTATTTTTTTTAAAAATGTATTAAAAAGAAATAACAAAGTTGACTGTCTTAACCATTTCTAAGTGTAGCATTCAGTAGTGTTAAGTATATTCACATCCTTGTGCAAGATGTTATGTATTTAAATTGGAAACAGTGTGAGAAGATAAATGCTGTAGGACAGTGGTATCCGAAATGTACTTCATGAAACCACTCCAAATCCAGTTTTATTTGAGGAAAAGTTATGTTTATGTTTTTATTTATTTAAGTTTAAAAACTACCAGTATTATAATTTAGAGAGGGAAGAGGGTAATTATTCAAGGCCAGAGTAATCAGGGAATGCTTCATGGCAGAAGAGGAAGACATAAACTGGGCCTTAAAGAATGGTTAGGAATTGGATGAAATGTGGGCAGGGAAAAAAAGAAAAGCGTTCTACTTGAGGGAACCAGTCACAGCTCAGAGGAGAGACTGAACAATGCCTGTTTCTAGATCCATAAAAAGACCTGCATTATTAGAATTTATTTATTTGGGGGTGAATGTGTGAGAGGCAACATAGTGTAATGTAGTGTTTCTCAGACTGTGTTCTAAATACCATGAATGTTGCAGAGGAGGAAGGGATAGGAAATCCATGTGTTTTTCCTGCAAGGCCCCAGTAACATTTGAATGCCACCATGTATTCAAAATCTTATAGAGGTTATATCCAACATACTTTAATTTTATTTGAAAAGAGGAAGTTTTCTCCATCTGGAACCATTGTTTCTTGGACACCAATTTGAAAAATACATATGCCAGTTACATACACAATTTCATGCCTTAATCAAGAAATTTAATATACCAGATGTCCCCCTGCTCCCACTGTATGATGATTAGATTATAATCACAATGACTATGTGAATGTGCTTTTAAATTTATTCAACAAATATGGAGTATTTACTGTAATCGATTCTTGATTGAGTTATACAAATGTAAGGAAAAGGTTATAGAAGCATAGAATATTACACGCATATAACCCTCTACATCCTTGCTAGTCTAAGTATGGAGCGTGGATGTTAGCATCTCCTAGCCTGCATTCTTGTTAGAAATGTGAAACCTTATATATAGTCTTTATTCCAGACCTACTGAACCAAAACCTGCATTTAATAAGGATCTCCAAGTGATTCATATGCATGTTAAAATTTGTCATATGCTATTCTACATCATACCCAGCAAAACTCCATTCTGTCCTTTCTTGAACACTGTTAGTGGCAGAGAATTTGATATCTTTGATTTCAAACAGGGTTTACCCTCATGAAACTTCCACTTTTTGGTTATGGTTTTATCTTAAAAGTCTTAAAGCATTATACGGAATGTGCTTAATATTGCAAATGAGAGTCATTGATAAGTAAAAGATAAGCTTATGTTTATCTGAGTCCCTAACAAAATGTGTCGCCTAGAATTGATCATAGTACTACTCCTAGAGTGACTTGGCCAGAGATTTGAATGGAAGTTACTGAAGTTACTTCATCCTACCTGTAGAGCATTTGAGAGCTCTCTTCCACTGTGTTCTACTGCCTCTGCTGCTGTTGTTTTTGTACTCCTCTTGCCAAGCAGTTTCTTTAAGTAACTATCCTTCTTAATTTTTCGTGTTGGACTATTGAATTTTGCTAAGTTCAGAATAGGCCTAGTGTTTCCCTGGAACCGGCTGTTGGAGCCCTTCCCCCTGTTTACCTAGTCACTTGGTTAGATACTTTGATTACAGGCATAGGTTACATAGTAGTAATCACCTGTTATTTTGCCTTCCTCTTTAAGAAGTTTCTAAAAAATAATATCTATTAATTTGTAATATCTAGTTATGTCACATCATTGGAATTGAACTGTAGGGTCTCTTTTAAGAAATTAAATACCTTAGTTAGTTGCATAAATATAGATGTTCGTTGTAAAAATTAAGACAATGCAGAAATGTACAAAGAATTGAAAAATCCATTTTTCTTTCTGTCTAATCCTACTTTTGCAAAGTTAACCTCTGTTTAGTTCATGTATCATTCTAAACTTTTTTTAATAAATAAAAGGAATATGCTGTACGTGTCAATTAAAAACAAGAAAGGATATACTGTTCTGAAAATTGCCTTTTTACTCAGAAAAATTAAGTTAATCTCTAGACTTTAATATAATCAATGTTTTTGACTTTAGGGAAGAAATCCTTTTTTTTTGGAGCCAGCAATAATTATTACAATTACTGATGGGAGCAAGCTGACTACTACCAGTGGAGTCCAAGATGAGGTAAGTTATGTTTATATCAGAACAGATTATACAATTGCAGTTGAAAAATCTTTACTTGTATATGCACTGTAGGATATTGAACACCTTAAATAGGTTCTCTCTTTGATTATTTGATGCAGTTTTGAGTCATCTGTCTCCTGGGACTCATTTACTTTCTCTGTTGTTGGTAACAGTGGTCTCCAAATTCTCTTGAATAGGAATCCCTTCTGTGAAAAGGTTTAGAGCCTACCCACCCATCCCAATTATATGTACTTTTGTACTTATGGGAGGGTCGCAGTGTCAGTTCATGTAATAAATTTAGTAAAATGAGTTCTTATTTTCGGGTTTAAAAAATGGAGAAAGCATTCTAAATCATTTTGTCCCATATATAAGTGGATTGTCTTGTGTACTCCACTGTGGAGACTGCTAGACTAGAGTACAGCAAAGCCAAGAGGAGGTTAGGACTAGGAAAAGTGCAGATTTTGGGACACTTTAATTCTAAGTCAAGTACAGATAAGTAGTAATTTTATAGCTAACCTCACTTATTCTCTACTAGCATGTATTATACAGAGTTGGTTGTGTGTGGTGTGATAGGGTGAATGCAATAGATTTATTTTAACTTTAAATGTCTTTTACTATGGTATTTGAACTACTCTTGAACGTTATATTTGTTTATTAAAATATATTGATATAGAAAGGAGATGGTTTAGTCTACTCTCTTTACTGCTTATATTTGATTTAGAAACTTAATTTTAATTCTCACTTGATTTACGAAGGATTTGATTAAGTAAGAAAAGTGTAGTTCAGTTGTTTTTAGAAATACTTTCATTGTGACAGTTTGGAATGCAAATTGGGTATGGAGTCAGACTTGTAGGTTCTAGTCTTTGTTCAACTACTTTCTAGTAGTGAACTTGGTAGCAGTTATTTAACTTCCCTGAATCTCTATCCTTGTCCATGAAATGATGATAATTCTTTCTTTACCTCATAGGGTTGTTGGAAGGCTGAAATGAATAATGTATATGAAAGTGCTTGGTAGAAAAGAACATTGTATAGTTGTATTGTGAAGCATTGGACCTGGTAAAGAATTGGGCTTCCTGATCTTCACTTGGGGGAAGAGAGCCAGAGTTGTTTTGTGTGAACAGTTGATGTTAAATGAAATTTAGGATATAATTCATGGAGAAACAGTTGAAAAATTGGGTAGATTAAAATTCATAATTAATTTGTAGTCTAGATTTAATTAGTAGCCTTGGAATGCTCCATAGCTGAACTTAGTCAGTTTTGGGGCTTTTTTGACCTTAGTTGAAATGCATAGCCAGTTATAGCCTGCCACTAGCAGGAACAGATGGACATTGATTATATAATATACATGAACAAGCAATAAAAATATTGCTTTATTTTAAATTTGAAGCTCTCAAGTTGATTTTTTCCACTTTACCTTGCTTTTGAAAAACTTGAGTGAGAGAAAGATTGCAGTATTGATAACCAAGTCAGAAATAATAATGACTTTGATTTGTAGTTACGGTTGAAAAGGTATTTCTGTTCTTTTGTGAAATATTCCTGCATGTGAGATTATCCATTCAAGATGTTCTTTCTAGCCTCCTTTGTAGAAATGCCCTTTGGGGTACAAGATATTTTGTTTCCATATATCTGGATCTACTTTGTAATGTTTGTTTTGTAGGACCTCTTCTAGTTTTAAAACCCCATCTTGAAATATAGATGGATGTTTTAATTGCTTACCTGTCTTCCTAAGTCCTTGGGAAGGATGTTGGAGAAATAGAACTGTATGTTCCTAAGAACCTAAAATTCCTTGCTAGTAAGGTTGAAAAGATTTTCCTGTGGGCCGGGATCTTACCTTTTAGTTCTCTTTTATCTACTACAATATTTAGTACAGTACTGAGAACAGAGCTTACATTAAAAAATATATTGATTATAGATATTATTGTAATGAATCTGGCAGTCATCAAGATCAAAATTGATTACTACTACTTTCCTGAGGCAGAATATTCATTTGTTTTAAGACAGAGGTTTATGTTGGATATGCAGTTGGAACATAGGTCTGTGAGTTGTTTTGAGTTTCAAGTTTAGGAATATCTTTGATCCTCTGCATGTTTGGTTCTTAATGTGCCAACAAAACTCATTTTGTGGGCCAGAAAATGTGCCCTACACGTGTATATTCTGGAAGCTTAATTTTTGCTAAAATGTTGTGAAATACTGGTCTCTTCTAGCTCAAATAATTATGTGATTCATTTTGAGGAGCCTTATCAATTTATAAAAAGCATAAGGATGCTTTTTGGCTTGTTCTCTGTGTGTGTGTGTGTGTGTGTGTGCGCGCACATGTGTGGTACATATGAGTTATATTGTCATAATTTATAGTAAGGAATAAACAGAATTTTGCCTTTATGTCTCTTTCTCTTCGGTTCTCTTAACCTTTGCCTTTGATTCTGATTCTTTTTTAAGATTTATTGAATGAGTGATTGTGTTGGTAATTTCCACATTAGGTATGTGTGTATAATTCTTAGTTGGCTCTGGCTGCTTTTGATGTGACCTGTTACTGTTTATGGAGTTGTGTCTCCCACCCATATAATACCCTTTGCTCAAGAGTTATCTCACATGGTATATTTGTCTGTTCTGATAGTGCTATTTTTCAGATGTAAGTGTTCCTCCTGCTTTGAAATCATCCTTATGACATATACGGAAACAGAACTCATCTGGCATTACTTTTTATTTTACAAATGAGGGAATTAAGATCCAGGGAGGCTAAGTGATTTGCTCAAGGTTATAACATTTATTATTGCCAAATCTGGATTAGAATTGATCTAAATTCCAAAGACATCCCAGCCCTTAAAGACCAGTGCTTTTTCCCTGTTATCTACTACTTTTCTGTTTGTTCCTGTGTTTGTGTGTTGTTGAAATTTATGTTCTATTTACCTGATTTCCTATTGGTCTGTTTTCAGCTTTCTATATAGTTGTGACATAGGTATTATATTCTTATTCACTTAGTGTCCCTTGAATGACTATTATGACCAGGGTATTTTTAGGCAGTGAAGATGACAAAGATGAATAGGGTGGATTTCTGGTTCTCAAGTTCACACATAGTCTAATGGAATAGGGGGATCGCCTATTAAGTTGTTTTATGAATGATAAAATACAGATACACACTAAGTGTATTGGAGCACTAAAGAGGGAGGGGAGGGTTAATATTAACCTGTCTTGTGCGTGTGCCAAATCCTGTGTAATGTGAATTTTTAGTCTTTTAAAAATTTTGATTAAATTCAAGGATCTTGTGGATGATTTGGTATATGATGTGGCTCATAGCTTGTATCTGTAAAAGTTATAAAGAAACCTGGTGCAAAGTTGTTTTGAGCCTAGAAAACAGTAAATGGAAAAACTTGGTGCCGTAGTGCCTCTTGATTTGGCTAAGTTTGTACAGGCCAGAATGATCTCATTTCTCATAACTTGTTTGTCAAAATAATACAGGGATACCATTTCCTCTGTGATGGCTCATCGTTTAGCAGTGTATTAGGAGTTAGAAGAGAAACAGCTTTGTATTACAGACTTACAGACACAAATTCTGAGCTGGCTACAGTCATTTTACCTTAATTTATGATTTTAATTACCTTTTTTGGCTTCATTTAATAAAAGTCCAGGCCGTTGTTTGAGTTGTTCATGAGTGTGTTTCTAGTTTAGTGTTTTTGGATGACCCTGGAGGACTATTGATGAGTGCTTATGATGGAAGAGTATCTATGTATTATTTTTCCTTTTTAAATGTAGCTATTTGATAAAACTGATTGTTTGGAGTATTTTTACTCATGAGGTACAAGTTAGATGGGACTTTGAATTCTGCTACACAAGAAATGTATATTTCTTACTCCTATAGTAGTAATCTTTGATGTTGTTAAGCATATTTGTGGCCAGATAATCACAGTACCATTCGTCACGTTCTGTGTCATGCTTTGGTAGAATCACAATTTATAATTAGAATTATTGAGAAAATTTTTTCTGGTTTTTATTGCCTGCAAAGACTTTCTCTAGTACTCTTTTGCAATGGAAAACTATTCTGTGCTATGATTCCTGGAACACATGGCTAACTATATTGCTCAATAAAGTAGCCAGAAGAAATCCTGCCAGTACCTTCTTGGTGATGAATGACATTCCAGGATCGTGTAGCAGTTATTTTTTTCTTCCTTGAAAGTGCTAATAGTAGTGTTATCTTTCAAATATTGAGATTTGCTGAAGACTCTTTCTGTATCTTTTTATCAATGTTATGCTTGCCTTGGAGGCTAACATTTTAGAGAAGATATTTGCAGTCAAAAAAACCTGTTGGCTTTTGACATTAAAAGCTTTGCCTTCTTCTGAGCTTTCCCAGCTTTTTAAGGCAACCAGGACAACTACTTTTATAACTTCTTGGCAGATGTTCAGAAAGGGCTTGTGTTTGTAGAAGGAGAATATGTGAGTAACCTCAACTATGTGTTCAAGTGGCTATAGATTGGGATCTTATCTTTCAACTTGTCGATTCTCAGAAGTTGATGCAGAGATCCCATCTGTCTTTGAGATGTGGATCGGTATTAGTGGTTTTTCTGGGTCGCTCTGGGCAATGTAAATAGTTTTACCTTTCATAAGGATAGTCTCTAATTAGGATCTATAATTACAGTTTATATTTAACTCTTCATGATTTGTACTGATTAAAAGACAGTCCAGAATTTTAAATCTGTTTCTAGTATCCGAAATAATTCCGAAAACACATCTCGCCCTCCAAAAATGTTATTTCACTAAAAATATGTACCAAAAGCTGTCAAACCTATTTTAATTGTGTCAGTAAGGATTTTTAAACAGCTATTTTAAATAGTTGTTTCCCAGTACACTTAGAATTTGGGGGGACATTTTCTTTATTTTTTCTTTATTAAAAAGACCTCTAAGGAATCTTGAGGACTGTCATGGAAGTATGACAGAATGTATTAAACAGATCTGTGTAATGCATTTCTGAGTTTTCATGTTTATCCCTTAGTAGTGGTGCCTCTTCA